CGTCACACCAGACCGCATCTCACGATCTCCAAATGATTAAAATTATAATTTATGATTATTCGGAGATCGTGAGATGAGGTCTGGAGCGACGTAGGTTTTAGAAAAACATTTTCTTCATCGTGCCAACGTTTCGATCTTTATTGAGATCATCTTCAGGGTCTGGGATTTATAAACATTATTTAAATTTTACAAATACATGTAGGATGTGGAAAAATTATGAATTTATTTATATTAAATTTTAGATTAAAAAAATGAATTTATACAATGTTAGAAAATTTTAGATTAAAAATGAATTTATACGATATTTATTGAGATCATCTTCAGAGACTGGGATTTACAAACATTATTTAGATTTTACAAATACATGTAGGATGTAGAAAAATTATGAATTTATTTATATTAAATTTTAGATTAAAAAAATTAAATTTATACAATGTTAGAAAATTTTAGATTAAAAATGAATTTATACGATATTTATTGAGATCATCTTCAGAGACTGGGATTTATAAACATTATTTAAATTTTACAAATACATGTAGGATGTAGAAAAATTATGAATTTATTTATATTAAATTTTAGATTAAAAAAATGAATTTATACAATGTTAGAAAATTTTAGATTAAAAATGAATTTATACAATGTTAGAAAATTTTAGGTTAAAAGAAAAAATTATACAATCTGCTAGAAAATTTAACTCCTTATACAAATTGCTAGAAAATTTTAGATACAAAAAATGAATTTATACAATGCTAAATAATTTTAGATTCAATCAAAGTATTTGTACTCACTCAAAGTGTTTGTTTTCCGTGTAGATTATGTCACTGTATAAATTGTCTGTCGTGTTTTCTAGCATTGCATAAATTCATTTTTCTATCTAAAATTTTCTAGCATTGTATAAAATTCATTTTTTTAATCTAAAATTTTCCCTAAATGAAAAAAATGAATTTATACAACGCTAGAAAATTTTAGATTCAAAAATGAAAAAAAAACTTTTTTTAATCTGAAACTTTCTAGCATTGCATAAAATCATTTTTCTATCTAAAATTTTCTAGCATTGTATAAAATTCATTTTTTTAATCTAAAATTTTCCCTATATGAAAAAAATGAATTTATACAATGCTAGAAAATTTTAGATTCAAAAATGCCAAAAAAACTTTTTTTAATCTGAAATTTTCTAGCATTGCATAAATTCATTTTTTTAATCCAAAATTTTCTAGCATAGCATAAATTCATTTTTTTACATCCTACATGTATTTGTAAAATTTAAACAATGTTTATAAATCCCAGTTCTGAAGATGATCTCAATAAAGATTCATTTTTTAATCTAAAATTTCTAGCACTGCATAATCTTTTCTTTGAATCTAAAATTTTCTAACATTGTATAAATTCATTTATTTAATCTAAAATTTAATATAAATAAATTCATAATTTTTTCCATATCCTACATGTATTTGTAAAATTTAAATAATGCTTATAAATCCCAGGCCCTGAAGATGACCTCAATAAAGATCGAAACGTTGGCATGATAAAGAAAATGTTTTTGTAAAACCTACATCACACCAGACCGCATCTCACGACCTTCAAATAATCATTATTGTTTATATTGAAACAACCTATTATTATTGTTTACGAGTAGTCTATAGTAATCGTTTATTTACGCTGGATTCTGTTTTGAACATATCACCAAAAGTGATAATAGGTTTTATTTATTGCGTCGCCGACAATTAAAATTAAATCACCTTCCTAGACAGACCAATTAGATTGAATTTAATTTTGCATAATAATTAATTGTAACAGCAGACAATGCATTTTCTTATGTTTTGAATAATTTTACTTTTAGTCACTTGGGTCGATTTTTAATATTTTATTTCAAAGCATTACTTTACGAATCATTTTTTTCATAATGACAAAAAAGTTGGTGCAGATGATAAGAAATTAGTTACCAAGGTTTTATGAGCACTAAAATTTTGGCATGGTCACGGTTTAACCATGAAAATTAAATCACGATCGCGCCCATCATGGAATGTGTTGATATTGTTAAGTAAGTTCAACAAAGGGTAAAGACAAGAAAACAACTTTATTGAACTTTTCTTTTATCTTTTGTTTAAATTTGTTTAAATGAATTAAATTTGATAATAAATTTGAAAATAATTCAGAATTTTATTTTATTGTTAGTAAACCTTGAGTGAATGCAAAATAATTTTTTTAAATGTCTTTTTTTAAAAAAACGAGTCATTTGACCCGGCCCAAGGAATGTCGAGTAATCTGGGGGTGAATGTCTAAGTCTGGAGAGTAAAATTAAGTTATTAGCGATAATGGAGTGGGGTTCAACTCCGTCCCGAGGAAATGTGATTTATTTTCTTGAAAGTAAGGTGCGTTTAACCCCCCCCCCCCAAAGAATACCAAGTTCTCTGGGGAGAGAATGTAACCAGACTTCTGTTTGTAGTTGTGATGTTATTCTGTAGTTGACCTAAGGTGGAAACGGGAGGCTAGCATTTTAGGATTTAGGATGCAGCATACACATAAAAGCAGATAGTCTGAAACCTGATATGCTCAATGACTGCAATTTAAAATAAAATACACGTGAGAGAACAGAAAAACAAGGATAACACGAAAAAAGCCCGACGACGATTTCAGCCGTTCTTCAGCCAATAAACCACACACTTTATGTATTTTTATTTCTAACTACAAAAATACACAATCACAAAATAAATTATAATATGTGATGTCTAGTGACCGTTAGTTAATTCGTAGATTGTGAGATGCGGTCTGGTGTGACGTAAGTTTTAGAAAAACATTTTCTTTGTCGTGCCAACGTTTCGATCTTTATTGAGATCATCTTCAGGGCCTGGGATTTATAAACATCTTTTAAATTTTACAAATATATGTAGGATTAAAAAAAACGAATTTATGCTACGCTAGAAAATTCTAGATTAAAAAAAATGAACGTATACTATGCTAGAAAATTTTAGATGGAAAAAATGAACTTATACAATGCCAAAAAATTTTAGATTAAAAAAATAAACTTATACAATGCTAGAAAATTTTTGATTAAAAAGAACAAATTTATACAATGATAGAAAATTTTAGATTGAAAAAATGAACTTATACTATGCCAGAAAATTTTAGATTAAAAAAATAAACTTATACAATGCTAGAAAATTTTTGATTAAAAAGAATAAATTTATACAATGATAGAAAATTTTAGATTAAAAAAAATGAACGTATACAATGCTAGAAAATTTTAGATGGAAAAAATGAACTTATACAATGCTAAAAAAATTTAGATTAAAAAAATAAACTTATACAATGCTAGAAAATTTTTGATTAAAATGAACGAATTTATACAATGATAGAAAATTTTAGATTAAAAAAAATGAACTTATACAATGCCAGAAAATTTTAGATTAAAAAAATAAACTTATACAATGCTAGAAAATTTTAGATTTAAAAAAAATGAATTTGTACAATGCTAGAAAATTTTAGATTGAAAAAATGAATTTATACAATGATAGAAAATTTTAGATTGAAAAAAATGAACTTATGCAATGCTAGAAAATTTTAGATTAAAAAAATGAATTTGTACAATGCTAGAAAATTTTAGATTGAAAAAAATGAACTTATGTAATGCCAGAAAATTTTAGATTAAAAAATAAACTCATACAATGCTAGAAAATTTTTGATTAAAAAGAATGAATTTGTACAATGCTAGAAAATTTTAGATTAAAAAAATGAACTTATGCAATGCTAGACAATTTAAGATTAAAAAAATGAATTTATACAATGCTAGAAAACACGACAGACATCCGTGTACATGTGTCATTCTTGTCCCTCAACACAATAGACAAGAATGACACATCTACACGGAAAACAAACACTTTGAGTGACTGATTGAAACTAAAATTTTCTAGTGTTGTATAAATTTATTCTTTTAATCTAAAACTTTCTAGCATTGTATAAGTTAATTTTTTTAATCTAAAATTTTCTAGCATTGTACAGGTTCATTTTTTTCACATCCTACATGTATTTGTAAAATTTAACCAATGTTTATAAATCCCAGGTTCTGAAGATGGTCTCAATAAAGATCGAAACGTTGGCACTATAAAGAAAACCTCCAAATAATCATTAAGTAACGGTAACTAAACACCACACATCAACAATAATCTTTTTAAAAAAATCAAACTCAAATTTCACTGACAGGTGACGTAATCTAAAATCGGGAAAAGTTATTCGTAAGAATCGCAACAATATATAAGTCAAATATAACTCTAGTTCGTTGAGTTATTTTCTTCCAATCCGCCCTCAGCCGTACAAAGCTAAGAAGGAGAAAAGGGAATAGCAACAAACGAGGTGAACTTTTCAAGAATCTCAAGAACTGGATTTTTAACGGGGGGAAAGGTCGATTAAAGCTAGGTCAGAATACATACTTTCCGAGAAATATTTCATCATATAAGTTTATTTGTAATATTTATTCACGCATTGATATAACACTGAATTAAATTGTAAAAAAAAATTATAAGAGAAGAAAGCTTTTGCACTTTCTTTTGTGTAGGTTGTAATTTTTTATCTTTTCGAAATAAAGAAGGGTGGTAATAGATTTTTTCGGTTGCATTTAAAGAAAGGAAGGCTTTAGGTCACCAATGGACGAAAAATTCATTTGTATATATATTACACTCTATTATTTGTAAAATATCGATTTGTGAATTGATTTTTTTGATCGGCATGTCCTGGTCTTTCCTGGATTTGCCTTGGCTCCGATAGTTAAGTAAATAAAATTATTAAAAGATTAAAACCTTAAGGGTAAAAATATAAACAAAATATATTAGAAAGGGTCCATTTAGAGGGAAAGCCTGGTCACCCTCCTGTTAGTAAAAATCAATACGAAGCTTTTAAAGCACACAAGATCGATACTAAAAAAAAATATAAACTGTTTTCCATCAGCTCAGCGGTAAAATTATCGAAATCAGACTTAATGGATTGACATAAAAATTTGGATTTACCTCGTCAATGAAGGTTTCGCGTAAGAACACGTGTGTCTCCAGGGGGCGAAAACACAACCGGTTCCACGGGGGTTGAAACGAACACTGAGGGCGGCGCGGCACTTCTCCCCTATTTCGTGTTGGGGTGGGGACAACCCTTCGCATGATCGCATAATTCCACCCCCGCGTTTTCCGACGGCATCGTACAAAACGATATAAGAAGAAATAGTTTACTGTTCATGAATGTTTTTCATTCGGATTTAATACAATAAAAACTTAGATTATATAAACATCAATTTTTTTGTCTTGAACCGGATTGTTCCATAAAATTCCCTTTTTCTATGGCTTATTGGTGAAAATTGGAGAGGAAAAAAATTAAGTTTATAGTGTTGGTGTAAAGTCAATTTATGATTGATGATGTTGAACCTCAGAATCAGATTACAATGATGGAGTATAGTTCGATGATTCTTGATCTGAGAGTTCGATGACATGATTCATGAGAAAAAGCAAGATTAAAAGTAATGTGGATGGTTAACCATCGGAGTAAGGTAAAAAAACTAAAGAGACACAAAAATAAAGTGTTCAAGATAAAACAAAAGATAATAAAAAAACTGAGCTCATTTTGGTTGTTCAATAGTCATTATTAAAACTTAAAATCATGATTATTATTGAAAACTTATAAATTTAGTAGGGACACAACGTTATAGCAGCTGAAAGAACATTTCTTTCAAAGAATTAAATCCGAGAGGACGGGAAGAAAAAATAGATACAGGTCACATGGACAATGATCTAATGGGCCTCTCTTCCACCCTCTTTCTACCCCCTCATCATTAGGATCTGCACTCCGCAGAGATAAATTCTCTTTCGCACGCATGCACACAATTGTGAGGATTTTTCTCTCTCCCTCTCTCTACTACTCACTCTTCTCTAAAACCTCGAGAAAAAAAATAAAAACAGAGCAGCACCTATGCACGTCCTAATTGCCGCTGCATGAGTGTCTTTTGTGCGCTAATGAAATGTATCTTCTTATGAGACTGCACAGGGGCAAAAATTATCGGATAACTGCCATATTATTAATTTGTTAGTGCGACACAATGATAAATACTGAAAGCAAATTTATGTTTCAATAGGGTTTATCTGAACATAGAAAAGGGGGTGCGTGGCGGCGGTTGAATGGGGGTGCATCCTGATCCATTGTCTACACTCTGGTGCATTTCACCCTCGTCGTCCTGGGCCTGCAAGATAACAGGATCACGAATAACCATTGAACGAACTCTTCCATTTAACTAGATGCCGATTGATCTTGCGCGAGTTGGCCAAGATCATTGCTAAAATGTTTGATTTACTGCAACCGGGGAAAAGATGGTTAATGTCCAAAACTACCTTTTAATTGATGGTTCATTCAAATTTATAGTTTCCTCTTAAAAAGAATACAGAATATTCTGTTCATATCCTACATAACAATCACTAGCCTAAACACATAATCAACAGAATAATCAACAATTACAACTCAACACATCAAATCTGTCAAATACATACAAACCAATATACATATCCATGTCATTCATTCACGGCCTATCACATAAATTAAACACTCCCTTTTGATAACTTTAAAATAGCCTTTAACAACTATAAAACAACTCACACATTTTTTCCTAAATTAAAGCTCCCACACCAGTAACAAATAAGACCGACGTAATTTACAAAATCAATTGTTCAACTTACATCGGAATTACATCCCAATATCTGGATAAGAGAGTAAAGCAACATATCTATGAATGAAACAAACCCAAACAAAATCCTACAGTACTGGCTACCCACTATTTTGAACACCAACACAATTTTTTCTTCAACAATCCAAAAATATTACACACAAAACAAAGCAAACGTAACTTTTTAGAAATGGTTTACATCAACAGAGATAAACACAGCATCAATTACAGAACGGGCACATGTAAACTCGTGTGTTTTCTAGCACTGTATAAATTCATTTTTTTAATGTTAAATTGTCTAGCATTGTATAAATTCGTATTTTAATCTAAAATTTTCTAGCATTGTACAATCTTTTCTTTGAATCTAAAATTTTCTAGCATTGTATAAATTCATTTTTTGTATCTTAAATTTTCTAGCAGTGTATAAATTCATCTTTTTAATCTAAAATTTCCTAGCATTGTACAAATTCAATTTTTTATCTGAAATTTTCTTGCATTGTGTATATTCATTTTTTAATCTAAAATTTTCTAGCATTCTATAAATTCATTTTTTAATCTAAAATTGTCTAGCATTGTATAAATTCTTTTTTTTAATCTAAAATTTCCTAGTATTGTATAAATTCATTTTTTTTAATCTACAATTTCCTAGCATTGTATAAATTTGAACAATGTTTATAAATCCCAGTCTCTGAAGATGATCTCAATAAATATCGTATAAATTCATTTTTTAATCTAAAATTTTCTAGCACTGTATAATCTTTTCTTTGAATCTAAAATTTTCTAACATTGTATAAATTCATTTATTTAATCTAAAAGTTAATATAAATAAATTCATAATTTTTTCCACATCCTACATGTATTTGTAAAATTTAAATAATGTTTATAAACCCCAGGCCCTGAAGATGACCTCAATAAAGATCGAAACGTTGGCACGATAAAGAAAATTTTTTTCTAAAACCTACGTCAAACCAGACCGCATCTCACGATCTCCAAATAATCATGACTACTAAGCAAATATGGATTAAATTAATAATCGGGTTCACCGATCGGAAGAAGGTGACGTATTGAATGACTAATTCATTATTAGTTTAAGAAAGGAGTTAAGTTTTATTTATTTCGGTACAGACTCGCCTATCAATCAGGTGGCTATCTAGTCCATGTACTCTGATCAGTGTATTAATACGAGTACTATCTTCAATTTCAATTCCAGCTGGTGCAGACTACATTTCGTTTGATGAAACAAATTACAGGAGGGAGTAGCAGAGACGAGAACTGACAAGAGCGTAGGCGTTGCCTTAGGCCCGAAAACGTCTGTCTAAATAAAGGGCCGTGAGAATTCCAAAATACGCCAAGTATTGTTTAAGATAAAGAGAACGTTATGAGACGCCTTGTTGCACAATTTTAATCAAAGAGGTTGCTGTTATTGCTGTTTACTACCTATTAAAAATGAACAAAAGGGCTCTCATTTTTAAAGCATTATCAGTGATCCATCTATCATTTCACAAATGTGAGACAAATGGGCCATATTGAAAACCCATTTATAATTTTGGTGTCGTTTTCTTGCTGCGCAACATTAGGGGGAATTCTTTGTATTGTCAACAATTTTTCTTGTATTTTTGACTTTACAACAAAATTGAACAAATTACGATTCATTATGAAATAGGGCCCAAGGATGACGGTGGGATTCGAACCTATGACCGTGAATTCTACGAGCTGAGTCGGACGCGACAATCACTCGACTACCGCGGTCCCCTAAAGCCGGGAACACACCCGATGCAACACCATGCGACACTACCCGATGCTACCCGACGCAAATCCCAACTCCGATTTTCCATAAGGTTGCATTACCCCGTGCACATCTGCCCGATGCTATGCCATGCTAACCTACCCGACGCTCTGCGATCCCCACTGTCCAGATTTTCGTCGGGTAGCATCGAGTACAGTCGAAGACAAAAAAACCGTACACTATTATTTTTATTCAAACTACATGTATTATTGTCGTTATTGTAGTTTATGAGAGACAATTAGTTTTAGTTTAATTTAAAATTGTAGAAAATACGCTACAGTTATATTAATTACAACAAACATATTTTAAATATAAACCAAATTAACCGAGATCAAAAATTCATTTTTTTTAAATTAATGGTTTGGTATAAAATTGATCAAAACACCGGAATACCATGTTTATTAATTTAATTAACAATTTATTACACGGTTTTGATCATAAAATTTAACTAAGTATTGATTTTGCTCATAAAATTACACCATTTTCGTCGAGTAGCGCGAGAACAGGACAGTCATATTTTTTGTACTTTATTTCAAACTATGTATATGTAATTTTGTCGTTATATTAATTACAACATTCTTAATTTAATATAAACCAAATTAAACGAGATCAAAATTCATGAGTTTTTATAAAAATTATTTAATTATGGTGGTTAGGCAAAAAATGTATCGAAACACCGGAATAAATCCACGAAATTAGTGAATTTATTTAAAACAATTAAATTTAAATAACAATGTATTAAATGGTGGTGTTCATAAAATTTAAATAACAATTTATTACAAGGTTTTGTCAAAATAGTCTCATTAAAAACAAAAGAGGCGTTGCGACTGTGATACTGATTTGTGATACACGCTGTGTGACTGGACGTGGCGTGCGCTTGACTTCGCATAGATGTGCAAACCCTACCAAAACGTGGTAAGGCGTCGGGTAGCGTTGCGTCGGGCAAGTGTGTTCCCTGCTTAAAGGTGGCTTACATCTACCGACAATCTCGATCTTTTTGCACACAAAAATTACATACCTTGTAAAACAACTTTACAATAGAACTTATCAACAACGATACCAAACGACTCTTATTAGGCACAAAAATGTTCTATGAAAACATGATCTGAATGTTTTAATCAGTTGGTATAGAATTGTATTTGAATTCATATCAAATGTTAGCCATTTAAAATAATGTAACATATCACAGCCTTACATTCATAATTGAAAGAAGTAACTTGGTCAATTGACCACTAAAACGTAAATTGTTTACTTTCATAATTTGATCAATTTCACACATCCATGATGTAAACCATATAACCAAAAAGTTAAAAAAAAAAAAACTTTATACTAACCCCATAAAAGGCCATTTCTCAGGTAATTGACAAAAAACAATGAGAAGAACTCGAACTTTTCGGTTGTAAATTTTCGAAACGGGGAAATAAGTATAGCGTAACTTTCGGGCAACTTGTGCTATATCGTCTTGATTTACTCTACACTAAAAACACTCGTGCACTTGTTTTGGTTTTATAGCTATCTCCTTTTTTTTACGATAGCAAAATTTACAAAATGTCGCCCTCCCGGATGGCACAATAAACCGCAGCCAGGCGCTCGGCGTAAT